CACATAGCACACACTGCCACCATAACCCCGCACATGTAGTCTCCATGCCACTGCATGGGCCGCTGCTCACGAGCCCACCAAAACTAGCTTGAAGCCACCAAGCTCTTTGTAGATCCGGTATGAGGGATGTAGGATCCAGCAACTAGGCCACCAGATCCACCGTCCCCCCTCCCCCCCACCAAAGTAGTGAGGGAGAAAAGGAAGAAGCCCTGCTGCCGCCCTCTTGGGACCAATGCTGTCTCATGCATGCTTCTGCGAGAAGGGGGTTGTGAGGAGGCCTAGCGCCGGTGTTCCACACAAGCCAACCGGAGGGGGAATTGTAAACAACAAATATTTATCATTTTATAGTTTTTTTAAGAATGCTAATTTCTAGTTTTTTTAAAAAAAAAGTGAAAAGTTTTCGGTTGCCAAAATATACCGATATTCATAGTACTGAGCTTACTTTGGAATTGATTAACATAAAGACCTAGATTCAACATATCAGAATATTCTACTGTCTTCCTCTAGCTTCATGTTTGAGATTGACACTAAAAATCAAATACGAATCAAATATCAGTAAATGTAAAGGCAATTGAATATTGGTTCACAATTGGAATTTAAACTGATAAGAAACTAAGAGTATTAGATTTGGACATGCTTGATTGCTCATATTCTATTGTTTGCCGCTCAGTGCACTAGTAGAAATCTGCACATACATGACGAACAACTTTTGTCACTGAAGATGTGAAATCCGTCATAATTTTAGTTGTATGACGAATTTATGACTAAAATTCGTTCGTCAAAAGCGACAAGTCACATTGGTACATGCATGACGAATTCGAGCAACTCGTCATAGAAGTGGTTTGAACTGTGACAAAAAATTGATCATCATAGAACTGTTTTGGCATGCGTTGTAGGGGGCAGCCACATTGGCCGGTGCTTCCATTGGAGATGCTTCCACGTGTAGTTGCTATGGATAGTTACAACGATACTTGGCAAAGAACATATTATGAGTTACTAACTAAGGTTGAGTACATCGATCCTCACACACACACACACAAACGTGGCAAGAACACCACATGACATTACATGGCATGACTTGATTCTTGCGTTTGACTTGTCAACTTGACTATGATAGGATGATCAGACAAGCTAAAAGGCTAAAGACCTGGAGTGATGGATACTCTAGTGCCAGGTAGCCAATTGTTTCCATCGATGAAATTCTTCACGGTGAAATTGGTGTAGCTTCAGCTGCACCTAGCACACAGTGGCGGAACCAAGGGCTAGTAGGGGTCCCCCCTCCCCAAACTGTAACTTTTAATACCCTCATAAATATTTCAATGCACAATACATTTTTCCCATTTTTACTCATCTTTTATCATAATATTGTGGTTTTTTATGAATACTAACTACATAGATAAAAGCATTGATAAAATTGTTGAGACATACATTTATGTATATATTTATTACACTTATAAAGTGTCATCGTGTTTGCCCGGCCCCCTTAATTAAAGTTGCTGGTTCTACCACTGACCTAGCATGAAGTGGACGTCTGGCCAGTGCACCCGGCCACAGATGTTAGCTCCAGGCCCACAGTTATTGAACTCGGCATATTACAATGTGTCCAAGGGCGTCGTAGTCCCACTCCATGGCAGCCAACCATCGGGATGAACAACATTAGACATGAAAGACTACATGAAAATGACTCTAGAATATTTCTTCCAGGTCCTTCTAAGATATGTGTTGACTATGAAGTTTGCATGAAGAAGATCATTGTCCGTGGCCAACGTGCAGAACTGGGAAACAAACCCCCCTGTCTTGTTAGCAGCATCCCGGCCTTGAGCCGTGATAGTGTTTGCTTGACCACGCTGGGGTAGTCGCGTGAGGATCTTGCATCTCTGGAACACTGTGGCTGCATCACCAAATATGTAGTCCATAGTTCCACACTTCACGTGGATGGGGTGCCTCGTGGGCAAAGTTGTTTTTGCCCTTGAGGGCATGCCCCATGTGCATGGTGCATCCAATGGTCCAAGCACATGGGGCATATGCCCCAAGGGCAATTTTTCTATGTCCTATCTAGCGGAGATTGTCTGAAAATGCATCTAGCCCTTTAGTGGGTTTTGATGGATTGAATGATAACACCATTAAATGTATAACAAGTTTATTAAGTGTGAATAGAAAATTGAGTAAGCATAAACTTGAAAATTGTATAATGAGAAGTGTATCAAAGGTTCAACAAGAATGCAAACTTGATGGTATCCCACGTTGTGTTCAAATGAAGGCCAAAGTTATGTATTGTTGTGTTAGAAGATTATGGAAACAATTTAGTTCAATCAGAAGACAACAATGCGAATGGAGTTGATAAAATGGCTTCTATGTTATGGGATATCATGACATCACGTAAAGCAAGCGTGTTTAACAAATGGCTAATGAGACATGAGTTGATAAACATGAAACGATCTCATATAGGTGGCTTGCTTTGTGTGAATAAGAAGAGTTTGATAGTGGATTGACTTTGATCAAGTATTGAAGAATGAGTCAAGAATGCATGAGTGAGGAAATGCCAAGCAAAGGTCAAATGACAAAGGAGACAATGTATAATGGATATAAGATGGTCTCTACATTGTTTTGCTTGTATGGATAAAGATTTAGAAAATCACTATGCATTGATTTGATCAAGCTCAAAGTAAGAAGATAGATATTGAAGTAAGTGTTAGGGGTGTCAAGCCAAAATGAAAAGGATATAAGGAATCATGAATTGGCTTGACCATATTGATGTTGACTCATATATGTCAATCTATTTGAATCAAACCGAAGCTTGACTGATTTCAACATTCCTATCAAGAATATATTTAAGCAAGCATCACATGCTCTAGACTTCTCAGTGGTATGGCCCGGTGCCGCACTACTGCGTAGAGCTATCGTCGACAACTTTGTTCAGTTCAACCATGACGGTGGCCCTCACCACTAAAGTGTTGCCCCGTAACAAGCCACACAACCACCAGCCATTGTCTGGAGGCGCTTGGCCTGGCAGCTGCCTAGGCTAGCCAAGTGAAGAGCTGCTAATCCGCCATTGCCTCGGGTAGACCTAGGATTTGGAACCCAAGAATAGGAGTTAGAAGGGGAGATTGGGATACGTGGATAAACTGCTAAAGTAGTGATGCACCGTCACGCTAAGAGGATGGGAGTCGCGCTCACACCGAGGGGTATGCTGAGCGGACTGTGGATGGGGAGTTGGAGTAGTTGGACCATTTGCATTGTTGGGCTGACAGGATGGATGGGAGACCAGAAGAAGGCTATTGTTTTGGCTCAATTCATGACTATCCTATTATTTTAGCTGTATTTTTATTTTTTTTCTTATACATATACATGTATACACTATATGTATTAAATTTATTGAAAAAACAATGAGTATTCAACTGAATAGTGAATACTCTTAAATAAAGTAGGCCCGCTCCTGCATGTAGCATGCCCAAGTCATTGGGAGTGTAAGATCGACTGGAATAGGTTAACTGGAATAACCTACCTTATATCTGAATTTGGATAATCAAAGACGAATATCTAATATGGTTATGTTGTTGAATGCTAGTATCCAACTATCTATTCATATCTATATCTGACACATCGGACATTATCCGTGTTTGAACCTAATCAACAAAGAAAAGAATATCTATTTTATGTTTGTATATATCCGTTTTTATTGATAAAGCTGAGCGCTCTCTCTCATTTCCCATTCACTCACCTTCACACAATCGAGTCATGAGATCCACCCTAATTAAAAGCGAGAGAGATACAGGCCTTCTAGGAAATCCTTGTCTCAGATCTGAGGACAAAGAGAAGAGATAAGGGAAAGAGTATGAGTAGACTTAGCACTAAACTGAAAAAGTTTAGAGATCTGGATATGAATTTTTTAGAAAGTTTTAGTAGATAAAGGACCTAGGTAATATCTTTGGACAAGTCTATTAAGGACCATCGATATGCATTATTCTTCTTTCCACTTGGATGATGCAATAATATATGGGAGTATGAGAAAGCATGGGAAAATGCACCGGCATTTGGATGACATATTTATTTATCGAGTGAAGAAGCAATATAGACATTGGAATAAAGTGGACAACTGGGTGATGGATATATGCATTATAGGTACAATCTTGTTGGATTGAAAGAGGAATGAACTACTCCATCTGTTCCAAATTATAAGACGTTTTGTTTTTTCAAGATTTGTGACTTTTGCTATGCACTTAAATATACATTATGCTTTGATGCATAGAAAAATCAAAACGTCTTATAATTTAGAACAGAGGGAGTAATTTTCTTGCAATCCACAATCCGAGAATAGGTGACGATTTTTTTTTTCTGAGGGATATGGTGTTCTCGTAGTAGAAAGAGGATATTTTCAAAATAATGACAATGGTGTTTGCTAACGAAGGACATGGATTTTCTCAGATTTGCAATATGCACACTAGATTTGCCATACCCGTTCATTTGCTTGTGATTCGCTCCGAGGGGTAGATGAGAAAAAAAACCATCAATTTTATGAATATCACACAAGAGAAATGGATGACTGAGATTATAAGTATGGATGTCAATGGAAATTCTCTGTCGGAGTAGTTTTCCTGACCTCCTCCTAGTAGTCCTTTATGGATACATGTCTGGCAATTTTCTTGTCCGTTGTTTTTCTAAAGAAAAAAAAACATCTACCGTATCAATACAGAGAAAACTGGGTTCTGCATCTATAGAGCAACATTTTCCAAGTCAAGTCATATATATATTTATATTTGCCTGTAGGGAGAGTCTAGTCGTACTCCTACCAGACGACAGACAAGAGACAAGGACAGACTCGTCCCCATTAGGAGAAGTCACGACACCACCCTGCCGAATCCAGTATCAGTATCCAGCATGAGCTGCCACTGCCAATCAAATGTGCCGCTGGCGACTTAGCTGCCCTCCTAGAAACTTCGTCTCTCCCCGTTTGGCACATGCTCAAACTTGCACACTCGGTACCCTATAAAACCACAGCCATGGCCTCCGACCTCAAGCCATCCGATCAACGATCTGCATGCAAACCAGCCTTCACTGAATTGAAGGTATATAGTTGTTGCAACACCTAAAGATCTACTTCAGAGCAGGCTTTCTCGATCCGATCCAGACAGAGATCGAGAACATATATAGTCGTCGTCTTCTTTTCTCTTCTGCTCATTTCATTCATCAGCCATGGTGGTTCCCGTGATCGACTTCTCCAGCTGGACGGCGCCGAGAGGTCGGAGACTCTGGCGCAGATCGCCAATGGCTGCGAGGAGTGGGGGTTCTTCCAGCTCGTGAACCACGGCATCCCGCTGGAGCTTCTCGAGCGCGTCAAGAAGGTGTGCTCCGACAGCTACCGCCTCCGGGAGGCCGGGTTCAGGGCGTCGGAGCCGGTGCGCACGCTGGAGGCGCTCGTCGACGCGGAGCGGCGCGGCGAGGAGGTGGCGCCCGTGGACGACCTGGACTGGGAGGACATCTTCTACATCCACGACGGCTGCCAGTGGCCGTCCGACCCGCCTGCGTTCAAGGAGACCATGCGCGAGTACCGCGCCGAGCTGCGGAAGCTGGCCGAGCGCGTCATGGAGGCCATGGACGAGAACCTCGGCCTCGACAGGGGCAGCATCAAGGCCGCCTTCTCCGGCGACGGCCGGCACGAGCCTTTCTTCGGCACCAAGGTCAGCCACTACCCGCCGTGCCCGCGCCCGGACCTCATCACGGGCCTGCGCGCGCACACCGACGCCGGCGGCGTCATCCTGCTGTTCCAGGACGACAGGGTCGGCGGCCTGGAGGTGCTCAAGGACGGCCAGTGGACCGACGTGCAGCCGCTCGCGGGCGCCATCGTCGTCAACACGGGCGACCAGATCGAGGTGCTCAGCAACGGGCGGTACCGCAGCGCGTGGCACCGCGTGCTGCCCATGCGCGACGGCAACCGCCGCTCCATCGCCTCCTTCTACAACCCGGCCAACGAGGCCACCATCTCGCCGGCGGCGGTGGCCAGCGGCGGCGGCGAGGCGTACCCCAAGTACGTGTTCGGCGACTACATGGATGTGTACGCCAAGCAGAAGTTCCAGGCCAAGGAACCCAGGTTCGAGGCCGTCAAGGCGGTGGCGCCGAAGTCATCTCCAGCGGCATAAATAAAAAAGGGACCAATTATTAAATATATTATAATGTTAAATATAATTCATTTGTTGGATATAACAGCTGGAGAAATAATAATATATAAGTATACTAAGTACGGGTTAGCATTTCAGGTTTTCACTGTGTTTAACTTTAGTGGCATGGTATGATGCTATATTGTTGTAGCAATAAGTTTGTCAAGCTTTAATCCAGTAGAAAAGATATAATGTTTGTTAAGTCTTTGGTGTAGAGTTTGCACATGCACATCCAAGTATTGGGGTTTTTCATGTACTTAATTAATGTGATAGTGATTATATGTAAAAGTTGTACCATCATTGTTCAAATGCAATAAAGAGTTGTTTGGTAAGACTCCATGTGTACTGTTCCTTCGTCGGATTATCCAAGAGGCCGTAGCACCAAAATGTGACTCCCATGTCCTTACGCGTAGAATAGATCCAGCTCCTCTATTCAGCACCCAGATAGAAGCGCTTCTCCTTGAATTCGCGTTTGGTGCGACTCTTTTGACTCTGGTGTCGAAATTGCCTGCAGAGACGGATGGAGTCGGAGCGGCACCTGATAGACTTAAAGCAGGATCTCTAGGCATAAATCTAGCATGTCTACTTGCATTTTGAATAAACCGTGAGTCCTAGAAGCATCTACTAGTACTGGATTAGAGATAGAATGAGAGAAAGAGGGGTGAAGGGGTGTAAACCATCGGCCGCCTTGGATGAAGATGGGCTCGCCATCGCAATGCTTGGCGTATATATTAGGGTTGGACGCTTTTCAGTCGGGCGATGGATCCAAGGGCCCAATTGGTCAGGTCAATTGGTGGAGATCAACTAACAGCACCAACCATGCCAAATGTGACCCCCTCTATCCACGTCAATCTATATCTACTTATTTCATTGGTAGTTGTCATCTTACATCCGTGGAAAAATGTGTGGTGGAAACCACTTTTTCCGTGCAAACATGAAAATCAACTCGGTATAATTTTAAGCTTAGCGTATCCATAATGCATCCACGATTCCACATATGTAGTCATATGTCAAAGTTGGGATGCAAACTCAACGTAGAAAAGTTTATACTAAAACGACGAATATCATGTGCACTAGAAGACAAAATTCTTTTGATTTAGTCTTTTAATTCACATGTACCTAAAATTCACCATTTTCGTATGAATTTGTCAGAAGTGAGTTTGCATCCTAGCTTTCTTTACATATGAGTAGTGATGGAAATATATCTTTTTAAGTTGGTTTCGACATTTTCAGAGAAGATGTAGCTTCCAGCTCATATTTCCCCGGATCTTCAGACATCTATCAATCTTAGATATCTGCATATGGAGAAGGAAGAAGAAGCGTCATTCATTTTTCTAGTGCATTCATACTAAGAGAGGTATCTCTTTGTCGTTACATACGAGGATGACTGGATGAGCAGCGAGGTTACTTTTAGAGTGGAGTGGAGCAGCTTCTAAGCGATGATGGCATGGGCCACCATGTCAACTCTTCATGGACCACCATTTGTGCATGTCCAACTCATTCCGTGTGGCAACGGTGACACAGCCTTTTGCCACTTGCGGCGACAAGACAAGAGCACAAGCAAGCGCTGGGCAGCCACTCACATGCCCACACATCTCACTCTCCCTCTCGTGGATGCTGCCAGCGAAAAAAGCCCTGCATTTGGGTCCACAGGATGCTGCTAGCAAAGAGAGTTTTATCCATATTCACCTACTAACTTTGATGAACACTTTGAGTATAAATGTTTCTAGTACAACTTAAACCATGAGAAAATTTGTTTACAAGACCAATAATGTGTCATAGGCGTGGGCATGGGTGTGTGAGTTGGAGTTTGTCTCGGGGGTGTTTCTAGGAGTGTGCCTCGTGCTTCTCCTTTGTTTTTTTCCTTTTTGTTTTCTTTTATTTTAATAAAATGACACGTAGCTCTCTTGGCGTCGTTTTAGAAAAAAAAAGGACAAGCGTGGATAGATAACAAAAGGTCACAATGTATGTAGATAGATAATCTTGTCAATAAATAAATAATAAGTGAAGGGACCACCTATATATCCACTCAAATATTATCATCCTCAAATATGTCCATGTCACTTTTATAGCCGTGCATTAATTACAATTTTAAACTCAAGAGTCCAGGTCCATCTGTCTCTCATTATATTGTTTCCATACTGAAAAAGTAGAGCAAAAATGACAAGATTTTATTCGATTTTCTAGGACATTTATTTTATTTACCTGTAGCATCTAATTTCTCTACTGGGGTAACTTTTTGTTGGGCTAATTAAGATAAAACAAATTTGACATGTTTATGCTAATAAGGAAAGTATGGTGGACGAAATAAATACCATTGCTCAAAAAATAAATGTAGTTTGAGCATCTCTATTGTCCCCTCTTGGATAAAAAAAAGATTGTTCCCTCCCAAATGGAATATATCAGCTATCGGAAGGACTAGTGTCCAATCAAAAGAATCAATACCTTCTCATTTCTTTATTTAAAAAAATCGACCTCATCTTCTTCCTATCACATCACAAAAGATAGAATCAGTGATAATTATGTCTACTTCTTATAAAACGAATCGAGTAATTTGGCATATTTCAGTATCGAACCTAGTCTCAAAAACCAAGTAATTTACCCTCTCAAACAATACAATTCTAGCATGCATAGTACCAAGTCAAACTGATTCCTGAAAAAAAAAAACCAAGTCAAACCATTTTCAAATTGAGTAAATTTACGTAAACATGTAGCAATGTTTATGATGCCAAATAAATGTTACTAGATCCTTGAGGAAGTATGTATACATAATTTGTGTTGTAAATATTGATATTTTTTAATAATTATAGTAATACTTTTATATTAAAAATAAGAACAGAATAAAAGTATAGTACAGTTAATCTTTTTCAGACGGAAGTAGAATCTAGCGGATCGGATAGGATCATAGGACCAGGTAAAACTAACCTGTGTTGACTGTAAATAAAAGCTAGCTAGAGCTCTGGGGACCAATAGTGCATGAATCATGCAGCATGATGCATCGATTTGGCGGCTGGTGCCACTGGACACTGGTTCGTTGCACGAAAATTCAGGAAGTGTAAAATTAACAAACAAAAGCGTGTGAAATTGCACGGTAATTCGTCCTCGTCCTCCGCTATTCCGCTCCGGTGAGTGTTCGGCGGCCATGGCCGTGGCGCTGAGGAGCACGCCAGGCAAATGGCCATGCCGGTCAGCATGCATGCAGACGGGTGCCGGCTTTCTCGCAATTTCGCCCAAAAAAAAAAAGATGGGTGGATCGATCGAATATGTATGATTAAAATCCTCAGATCCGAATATTTAGGATGGGTACTTTTGAATGCAGGGATTGATTTGCACTCGAACTAATTTCACCGGCTTTTGGTTTTAGATTCACTAGAATCGTGCACGTGTTTTAGGGGAGGAGAGGATCAGTAGCGAGCACAGCACATACATCTGTCACGCGAACAAAGGCAGGGCCGCCCCCTGTGCAGTGGTCCACTCTGGGCGGGGTTTTCTCCGGCGATCCACGGCCGGGCGCAGGCTACGTACATGGCGGCGGAGGGCGCCGGCGGCCGGGGAGGACGAGCCGCGCGATACCCGCCTCTGTCGGCGCTCGTCGCCTCCGCCATCGCCGCCTCCTCCGCCGTCATCGTCCTCGCCGTCGTCCACTCGGTACGGTGACTGACAAGATTATTACATTTCGACGTTGACCGGGACCAATAAGTGTTTCTTGCGTTGCCGTGGTGGCTGACGGCGGTGGCCGGCGGGCGGTTTGTTTGTTTCATGGGCGCAGGCGTACGACGACGCGGTGTCGCGGACGCGGACGTTGCTGGGCCACAACCTGGAGCCGACGCCGTGGCACCCGTTCCCGCACGCCAAGGGCCGCCCCCCGGCGCGCGCCGCGCTGCGGTGCGCGCCCTCCATAGCCTGTCTGCCACCTCTCTCGCGGCCTCGTCCGCCACCGGAGCCAGCGAACGCGTCGTCGTCCTCGTCGTTGTCGTCGCGCGGTAACAACAACAACAAACAGTGCCCGGCCTACTTCGCGGCGATCCACCGGGACCTGGCGCCGTGGCGCGGGGCGGGGCGGGGCGTGACGCGCGCGCTGCTGGACGCGGCGCGGCGGCGCGCGTCCATGCGCGTCACCATCACCGGCGGAGGCCGCCGGCTGCACGTCGACCTCTACTACGCGTGCGTGCAGAGTCGGGCGCTCTTCACGGTGTGGAGCCTGCTGCAGCTGATGCGGCGGTACCCCGGGCGCGTCCCCGACGTCGACCTCATGTTCGACTGCATGGACCGCCCCGCCATCAACCGCACCGAGCACGGCGGCGACGCCGCGCCCCCGCCGCCGCCGCTCTTCCGCTACTGCACCACCAGGGACCACTTCGACATCCCCTTCCCTGATTGGTCCTTCTGGGGCTGGTAAGGGATGCATCATTCGCATATATATGTTAAGATTTTTTATATTTATATAATACTGTCAATATTTTTAATCAATGAATGAAGTGTCAAGAAGATTGATGGTGATGGTTGATGGACATATGTAACGCAGGCCGGAGACGAACATCGAGCCATGGAACAGGGAGTTCAAGAGCATCAAGTCCGGCGCTCGGGCGACGAGATGGGCGGACAGGGTGCCGACGGCGTACTGGAAGGGGAACCCGGACGTGGCGTCGCCGCTGCGGGTGGCGCTGCTGGGGTGCAACGACACGGCGCTCTGGCGCGCCGAGATCATGCGGCAGAACTGGGACGACGAGGCCAAGTCGGGGTACCAGCACTCGAGGCTCTCCTCGCAGTGCACGCACCGGTACAAGATCTACGCGGAGGGGTTCGCGTGGTCGGTCAGCCTCAAGTACATCCTGTCGTGCGGATCCATGGCGCTGCTGATCGAGCCGCGGTACCAGGACTTCTTCAGCCGGGGCCTGGAGCCCCGGGTGAACTACTGGCCGGTGACGGAGATGGGCATGTGCGAGTCCATCAGGGACGCCGTCGACTGGGGCAACGCCAACCCCGGCGAGGCCGAGCGCGTCGGCCGGCGCGGCCAGCGGCTCGTGCAGGGCCTCCGCATGCACGCCGTCTACGACTACATGCTGCACCTGCTCACCGAGTACGCAAGCCTCATGGACTTCCGCCCCGTGGCGCCGCCGTCGCCTGACGCGCACGAGGCGTGCGAGGCGTCGCTGCTCTGCCTCGCCGACGACAAGCAGCGCAGGTTCCTCGAGGCGTCCAGGGCGGAGCCCGCGGCGGACGAACCCTGCGTGCTGCCGCCCCCGCCGGCGGCGGCGTGATCGAGCGCTTGAGCTAGGTGGAATGCTGAAACAGCAGCTCGTGTAGGAGGAGTTGCGTCTCTACCTCTCGGCTCTCTAGGATTTATTTATATGGAATAGAAGACAGAGCACAACGAATTGTGGTCACGACAGTTGCAGGATTGAATGATGATTGTAGGTGTAGGGACACAAGTTCGTGCGAAAGCATGTCCAGATTTGAGGCCAATTGCAATTGCATTGAATTTTTTGTTTCCCAAGCCCTCTGAAGTTACTAGTTGTATTGTGTATCTTGGCGTCTGGTTTCGCCACTACGTCACCTTATAGCAAAGGATTATGAATACAACTTAGAGCCTCATTCAAATAGGTGGGTTAATCTTCTATTAGTTTCAACTTAGAAAATAGATGGTTCCTATGCCCATTAATTAGTATGCCAACTAAGCAAAATGCTAAGAGCAAGGCTAATAATACAGTCGGCTGCTGGCTACAAGGATCCTTATATTCTACCTCTCAACCCACTCATATAGTAGCTAGCTCTTCAGCATTAATACATGGTCCACCTGTCTCTTTCACATAGTTTCTCGATTCTTGTGTCTAAACCGGCTGTAAGCTTACAACCCGCTTCTTCTCTCTCCTCCACGTTAGCATTTAGCTTGCTTACAGTCTGTTATTCTATGTCCATTAATTAGTACCAACTAAGCAAAATGCTAATGTGCATTGTAGTTAATAAAGATAGAGAAGGAAATCATTTCTTATATAGAAAAAAACCATGTATACACGAGAACCAAGATACGAATAGATTGATCGATTGGTCAATGCTTACATAAAAATTAAGGTATGAATAGAATCAAGATACAAATAGATGCGATTGGTCAATGCATACATAAGAATCAAGCTACGATTGATAGATACTAAGAGAAAGAAAACATTTAATGGACACAAATTAATTTCAATCAAACTAGGGAGAATGGTTTCTATATATAATGTCTATTTCACTCCGTAAATATGAAACGACCTCGTAGTTTCTAGAGCAACTTAGCCAAGAGAGAGGACATTTTATTGGACAAAATTTAATTTTAAAGAAACTATTCATTATTAGGAAAATATGGTTTCTATGTATATAATGTCTATTTGACTCAGTAAGTACATGTTAGTGTGACCAACTCGGCAAGTATAAAACCATCTCATAGCTTCTAATGTCAAATCATAGTTTCTAGTACAGTTTCTAATGTCAAATCATAGTTTCTAGTGTGAGGAAGTATAAAACCATCTCATAGTTTCTAATGTGACTGACCAAACCATCTCATAGTTTCTAATGTGACTGCCATTAGTCAAGTAGCTGGTTAACTAGCTGACCTATCTATCTAATCCGATTTAATTTTTAGCCCCGGCTAATAACCTATCTATCCAAACAGCGCTTTAAGGCCAGTGGCCACCAAGAGCAAAGAAAGAAATCCTGGCGCCGCTCTGCCTACCACATAAACCAACAGATGACAACGAAGCCAGAATACGCATCTACCTAGAAAACAAAAGCAGGTGCCTTCAGACCCAAACCGATACTGCAAATTCCCATAGTATCCACCATTTCATATAGCAAAACAACTCCAAGCATCATCTCATCTCAGTTAACTGAAACAGTGATACAGATATATAGATAAAGCATTGGCATAGAAGGCACGAACAAGTACTTGAGTGCCTCTCCTATTCCTCATTTAACCATATATATCTAATGTAGGTCAACACGATTATCCTATTTAATGACCAATTTACAAAATGCGAGCAGCCCGTGCTGTGGCAGCACCCATACGCACGCAAATCACCAAAACGCGCTGCAAATCATGGTAAAAGTTGTTGACGCACCACGACCTTGCAGGAGATTGCCACCCCCGTGGTATCGCACTAGTCTGGGAGCTATTTTGGACTTTGCCACTAACCACCAATCAGGCAAGGTATTTGTACATATTCGCATTGTCCTTGTCGCGCTCCAAGTAGTCCCTTGTGATGAGATCCTCGATCCTCTTCTTTATGGCTTTGAAGTCAGGCTGTAGCATCACACAGGCCCAAGTAAGAAAATGAACAGAATACAACACAAGTAGCAAAACCAATTTTCTTCGTATATTATTATCCTAGATTACGCAGCCACGGACGAGTTAACAGTTATCTTTGTAGATTGAACCTAACAACCTATGTCCTTGGTTTGGGACATGTGAATATTTGCCATTCATATGTAAGAGCTACCATAACATGATATCAAATTCAATCCAAAAGGGTACGTAATTACTTCTGATGCAACAACAGGACACCCAATGTACCACGGGCAGAAAATTGTAACTGAATTACTGATACACTTATTGCAAGATCAAGATAAAAATTGTTACTGACAGCAGAAAATAAGTTCAGTCGTACGGGTATTGTAACAGGGACTAAGCTACGAAGAACTTCTCAAATAGGAGATATACTGTCAGTACCTTAAACATGCGGCTCAGCTGCTCAACACATTCAGCAACCAGCTGTTGATGACCCATGACTTTGCGGCTCTTCATAATGCGCACAATTGATGCATCAATTGCATACCTCCTGTCTTTGTCAACATCTTCAACAACCTTTTTCTTCTCATCAACAGGAGGGAGTGGAATCTGGAAAGAGTGGCAACGAAATGAAATATTAGCATAACAGCAACTACTCTAAGTCTTACCAAACAGCAAAAGAACAGTGAAAACGAGAAATACCTTAATTCTTCTCATTCTGTCAGTAAATTTTGAATTGAACTCAAAAAAACATCATTGGGCGAGATGGATCTATTTGCGGTTCCTTGGTAAGGATCTGGTATTTCGCACAAGAAAAAGCGAATGGAGCAAGCGCACTACATCATCATCTGACAGGTTTAATTGTGTTACAATCTCAGAATAACTAAGCCTGTCAGATCCATTGAACAACAGTAGCAATGCAGCCTGTCAAAACAAGACGTGTTAAAAACATCAGACAGGTTAATATAGCACCATTTATTGTGATACAGAAATAATCCAAGATTACCTGATATGTCGTAACAATGAGCTCAATAGGTTTAGCATCAAACTTAGCATTGATGTTGCAGGTTCCCAAGGAATAAATCCATGTCAGCTTCCTGTGCTTTGTTCTTGTTTGATAGAACTCCTTGAAAACCTCTACACATTTCACCTAGAAGCAGACATATATAAAGTCACTTCAAAGAACATAAACATGTACCTAACATGCTTTTTTGAAATGAGCTAACATGCTCAAGTGCAGTGTTTGGTGCCCTTGAAGTGATCGAACAGTTTAACTTACCATCTCAGCAGGAAGGTTTATGTCAAAAGTTTTGTAGCTTGGCCAGAATCCCGTTGTCAAAACAGTAACAGCCAAGTCTATCCCAGGATTCAACTCTGGATGTCCAGCTACAAACTCTTCAAACTTAGTCTGGTGATCTCTAGCGACAGTAAGGTCCGTAACCATGCCCTCCATTTTTGAAGTAAACTGCCCCCCGCACTGTTGCTTGAGCTTTGTCAGAATACTTCTCTCATGCTCGTCATTAGCACTTTTGTCAAAAAGTAATCTTCTTGCAAGTTTCTTCCTGTAAGCCAGTTCACATATTAAAAAACTTAACCAAGTTCCAAAGGGCACTATTTCCTTGCACACTTTGACAAAAAAGCATTTTCTTTAAATTACACAAGCATTAATAATACCATGTAGGATAACAAGCACTCACCTATAGAACTCGGCAAATAGGTCTTTATCACTGATGTATGCCAGCAATCTCACCACCTGGAAACCAGTCACAATCATTAAAGCTCTGGCACATAATTTATCAATAACAGCAAAAGAAAAGAAAGAAAGATGTACCTTTTCAAGAGCATCTTCAATGGCTTCATCACTGAGCTTCTCACTGCAACCTTTCTTCAGAATATTGTCGCAGAAGGTAGCCAACAACTCAGCACTCGAACTGCCAGAGACACCTTTGTTACAGAAGACCTCAAAGGCTTCTTTAAGTGCCTGTGGTAAGAATTATGAGAACGAGACACCATTTGCAATATTATGGCAACAGCAGAATGAAAATGAGATATTTCAGCTGAAGACCTTATGGAAAAGTGTATGTCCCTGGAAACATTCTGTCACATAAGCTACATATTTGTCATGCAGCTCGATGATTTTCCACACGAAGACCTAAAAAACAAGAATAAATAAGCTAACATAACACACAACAAAAGCAGAGTGCGATGAAGATACACACCTGTTCCTGCATGCCAACCATATCCTTCTTCTCTGGCTGTAAAAGCAATGAATTGTAAAAATAATAATTTAGGGAAGATAAATCAGAAAATTAATCAAATATAGCAAGAAAAATCAAACAGCCAGGTGGCAGAATATCAAGCATACAAAGTGGTAATGTAAAGAAAAGGACTGGGAAATGGGAACTACTTAGCAACCTGACAATAGAGATTAGATGAAGGCTGTTACAAACTATTAATGTGGAGTTTTTGCTGTTTCTATATATATGAATCAAAAAGTGCATAACGGTAACATAAATAATTTAACAGCTAAAGAAATACTGCACCTTCTTATTACTAGCAGAATCTTCTGCTTGCTTTACCAAGGCTGTGCCTTCATTTGTAACATGCTGCGCAGTGCGGACAAATATAACTCAATCAGAACTGAATATCATGGTTCAAACGAATAAAATGAGTGAGCTAAAAGAGAACAGAGGCACCCTGCAAGGGAAATTAATACCGTTTTGAACATGTTAGATATAGGCTCCAGACCGCGGGTGATTTTGGAGAAGAGCCTGTACATCCTAGAAAGATCCTCAACCTGCAGTAATAGAGAGATGCAGTGAATATTCAAAACTGTTAGGAAGTCATTCATTAGATAATAATAATAATAAGGTTTTCAATCCAACTTTATCATCACGAAGCAAAGCAGAACATCCAGAATGCTCCTTCTCCAACAGCGGGGTTGCATACTGAGCAAGCAATTCATTTTGCACTTTCTGTCGAAATCCAAGATTATAA